AGAAAGTAAGTTCAAAAGACTGCAAAAAGATGGGCCAGAGATTTAGCTCAGTGGTTCCGCTGCCTGCCCTGCAAGCACAGGGACCTGAGTTCGATCCCTGGTACCAAAAAAAAAAAAAAAGACTGCAAAAAGAAACTGGTTATTTTGAATTTCTAATATGTTCTTGAAGTCTGGAAGCCCAGGTCCCGAGATAGGGAGGAGCTGTTAACTAACTTAGCTTACCTTCTTCCTGGGAGGAAGGGTCCCTAGCTCCCTTCTTATTGGAGCTTTCACCCTTCTTCTTGTGTTTTCCTGCATCTCGAAGCTTAGCCGGCTGCTTGAGGTAGTTTTTAACTATGGGCTCTTTTCCTTCATGGGACCCAATAGTCTGTTCTGATAGCATTCTCTTAACTCAATTAAGTAAGCTAACTACAGTTTGGGGGTACGAAGGAGCCTGTCTTGTGCATTATAGACTATTTACCGTCACTAGCCTCTAACTACTAGATGCCAGCGGAATCACCCCGCTGGGACAGTGAAAATGTCTCCAAATATGAAGTGTTCCTGAGGGCAAAATTACCTTTCGCTGAGAGCACTTGATTGAGAACCAGAGCTTTGTAGGCGGTGAAGACACAAAGATATGCAGGAACCTGGATGAATCTCAGAAACATCAGGAGGAGTGGTGGAAGCCTTGCCTAGAGTCCACATTGTATGATTGTATTCATATGATGTCCTAGAACAGCCAAGCTGGACCTAGGGTGGAGAAAGACAAAATGGTGATTGCCCGTGGGGGCATGAGCTCAGAGGTTGCTGGGCTGGGACAGAAGGGAACTTTCTGGGGAGTGATAATGTTCTACAGGTACGTCATTGGGGCTACACAGCTGTACGCACTCATCAAAAATCAGCAAGGGCCGGGGATTTAGCTCAGTGGTGCCGCGGCCTGCCTTGAAAGTACAAGGTCCTGAGTTCGACCCCTGGTACCAAAAAAAAAAAAAATCAGCAAATATACACTTAGTATGTGTGCATTTCATTTTACATAAAGCAAAAGTAAAAATAATAATAATAATATGTATGCTTAAGTGTTTAGGGGAAAGGATATTGTGTTCTGTTTATTCTGAAATGGACAGTATCTAAAGAAATAAGACGAGCTAAGGGACCAACAGAGGATGGGAAGAGAAAGATGACAGACAGTAAAATGCTTACCATAGAACTGCAGCACTGTATATATGGTGTTTACTGTTAAGAGTTTTTCAGGTTTCTAAATGTTTAAACTTTTTTTTTATAATAAAACTTGGGGAAAAGATAAATCACCGATTAGTGGGGTCAGATGTCCTAAGCCAGCAGCTTCACAAATGTTCATGCTGACAAAGCCAGCTTTGTGCTCCTTTCCTTCACTCAAATCTTCAGTCAAAATCAGATCCCAGCTGTCTCTGACCTCCCTCTGAAAAGTAATACTTTTCAGGTGCTTAATGCTGTATTCTGCATTATCTTTCTTTATAGCACTTGTAACCTGACATATATTTATGCCCTAGTCATTCATCTCCTGCTGCAGGAATATAAGTTCAATGAAATCAGATTAATTATCTGTTTTATACAGTGTGGGCTCCCCAAGGTCTACAACAATGACTGGCATATAGTAGCAGCTCAATAAATATTTGCTGAAAAAATACTGAAAGGATAAAACATTTTATGTTATTACTGTGTGTAGATGATGGGTGAGGCATAGATAAAGCAAGATTGGAAAAAAATAAAGCAAGATTGGACATAATCTCTCCTCTCAAGGGCTCTTCAACCTAGTTGGATGACACAGGGCAGTAATAAATAAGATAATAACACGAAGTAGCATATGCTAAGTGGCAAAGAAAAAAGCTAAAGAACAAAGCAGAAAAGCTCTCCTGGAGGAGATGACATTTAAGCTTTGTCTCCTAGGAGGAGTGATGACTGCCTGGTTTCCTTTGGGAGTCAGACTTGTCACTATGAGTTAATACACTGGGATGCTACCTTTCAGGCTTGAGTGACGTATCAGCTCTCCGGAAGTCACTCAGCTTGATGGGTGCTGGCACACAAAGCTTTGGGGATTCCCAGGGCTGCAAACAACTGAGGAAAGGAAGAATAGAACACAGGGAGCAACTGATAGACACTGTCCCAGAAGGAGGAATGTCATTTATAGCTAGCCAGAGATAGGAAAAAGAGCATTTCTCCTTCCAAGCCTGAGAGAAAGAAGTTGTTTGTAAGGGTAGAACTGAAAAGATGAGTCAAAAACACGGTGTTTATGCCTTCATTTTCTCTGCAAGAGTAAGGACCTTGAGAAAATCCTAAGTGCTTAGGAAATGGACAGAGATGTTATTATACTGTGATCAAGAGGCTGTGGGTTGACTGAGTTCAAATCTCCATTCTAGTACTTCTTAGCTGCATAATTTGGAGCAAGTTATATACCTTCTCTTTGCTTTAAGTTCCTTATGTATAAAATGGGAGTGGAAATAATAATAGTATCTACCTACTGGGTTGTTATGAGAATTGACTATAAATGAATGCACGTATGAAAAGTATTATGAATAATACTTGGCACTGTGAACTTAAGTTCCCAGAAGAAGCCACAGTTACACAGAGTCTCCCAGAGAAAATCTCACAGAATTATACATTCCCAGAGTGATGGGGACTGAATGTGTCACCTTCTGATTCTTATGTTGAATCTCTAACCTTCAGTGATAAAGCTTTTTTTTTTTGCAGTACCGGGGATCAAACTCAGGACCTTGCACTTGCCAGGCAGGTGTGGTGTCACTGAGCCACATCCCCAGCCCAGTGACAAAGCTTTTAAAAAGAGAATTCAGATTTTCTTTTCAAAGCTGCCTATCTCACATTTGGTGTGGGCCTCTATGTCTAGTATTTCAGGTGGAATTTAACTGTATTTTTAAATTTGAGTAAGGGTTTTGTGCATTTAACTTCCTACCTAGCTTTCTTCATTCATAATGACATTCTTACCATGGGGGTCTTGACAAAACAGAGTAAAATGTGCTGTGTAAATAGTTTATTTGTAATAAAGGCACCTGAAATAACCTATATTTTTTACATCTAATACAGACCCTGATTTACTTGCATTGTTGTCAGGATCAATTATGAAACTGAAGTTTGGTGCCTCCTCTATTATGTTTTTTCCCTTGTAGCAGTTGTGTTTAATGTCATTAAAAAGAAATAAAAGTTGTCAGTGGCAAAAAAAAAAAAAAAAAAAGAGAGAGAGAGAGAATTCGGGTTAAATACGGTATCGGGCTCAGAGAATGAGATCCCTAAAATACGCCATATTTCGGCAGGCTGAGCAATTTGATCTAAAGGAAGTCGCAAGGCCTCCAAAAGCCTGCTCGGAATCAAAGTGCACCTAAACTCCCCTCCTCTCCACCGAAGTGCAGGGAGACAGTTTCCTGACTGCACTAAGATCAGGCTGCAAAGGGAACTTAACTGCCATCCAGCCCCACCCATCCTCTCCCATCCTCTAATATCTCAAAGAGGGGATTGTGAGTCTGTTCCATTGCAAGAGCTTTTCTATCCCTCGGAATCACTCAAATTCCAGACACTGTCTCCTCAACCACTTACCCCCAATAACCATTTACAAGCCCTCAAAATGTCTACAGTGTCTATTCTGCCCCTTCTCTAGACACAAAGGGGTATATAAATTTCTGAACAGTGTCAAGCAGATGGGTAATCAGATTGCTGTGAACCCCTTTCAGTGGTGACTTGCTCTTTCTGCTTGTTAATAAATGTACATAACGTTTCTCCTATGCGATCTCTGGAGGTGCATTCCAGCCAACCTTCAGTGCCCAGAGGGGGAATTTCCCTACACGGCTTCTAAGCTTGGGGCCTGATTCAACCTGACTGGGGTATAGACAAGAAGAGAAAGAAACAACAAAGCACACAGGAAAGACCACATATACACACCGTGGGAACACAGCCCACTTTAAGCCTTGGTCAAGTCCAGACTGGTCAGTACCTTGATCTTGGACTTCTAGCATCCAAAACTAAGAGAAAATATGCTTCTGGTGGGGAAGGCTTCCAGTCTGTGGCATTTTGTAACGGCAGCTCTTGAAAATTAATACGCATGGGACACCCTAAGGTTTCACCCTCAGTGTGGCAGGATCAAAATAACTACATAACAGATCATCTTAAAACTGACTCATATTTACCAAGCTCATAAAAAGTTTGCTGTGTAGACCAGAGAGTAATAATGATAAGCATAGCAAAATACAGCCTTCCTCTGCCGGGGATATAGCTCAGGGGTGCCACACCTGCCTAGCCAGAGCAAGGTCCTGAGTTCAATTCCCAGCACCAGGAAAAAAAAAAAATAGAGCCTTCCTGACAAGTGGAATATACACTGTAAACAACCAGTGCATTCTCCTCCATGACAAATATTTGGGAGCCTCAGTTATTATTTAAAGGCTCCTCCTTCCCAAATGTCTATCCAGCTGTTGGTAGGAATTTCTCCAGGTCTTGCCTCAAGGGAACTGTCCCCGGGTCCCTCTGCCTATTTTTGACCTGAAGCTCAAGATCCTTAGGAAAGAGCCCCCTGCCGGGGACAGCTGTGTCCCCACCCTGGTGGTGATGACCACTCAGATGCAACCACTCTGTCCTCTGTTTGGGCAGCCTGTTGCTGCTGCTGCTTCCCCAGAGGGAGAGTGGACGGTAGGTTTGCTAACTATGATAAAGAATACAGGAAATGATGCAGAGTCCACCTTCCAACTGCTGCGAACTTCAAAGGTTTCTGTCAGGCCTGACTCTCCAGTGGGAATCCCAGTCAGCTCCCGGCATCCCCACAAATTGAGTTCGGACCCAGGTGCACCCCAGAAGACGTCCTCCAGCGCCCCCATCCTACCTCAGGCTGATTGAGAGTATGCAGTAGTTCAAGCACCCTAGTTCGATCCCCGGCACCAAAAAAAACCAAACAAACATAACTGAGAGTGCGCAGTAGCAAACTGGCTGGGGAAGTAGGAGTGATTTGTTAATCCTAGGACACATGCGCAGAACAGTTCCGGAAGCTCTGCACAGGTGCACATGGACTTCTCGCGAGAACTTGAGCAGGTTTTCCAGAGGATGGCCCAGCTAGATCGGACGACAGCTAGATCGGACGACAGCCAGAGGCAAGGGTAAAAAGCAGACAGTTTACATGGAGTTTTTTTTGCCACTGTGTTGTTTCACAGTAGTCCACCCTCGCGCTGTAGGGTGTATGTACCTTTTTTCCTACTTTTACTTGGCCCAAACTCACTCTGCAAAGCCTGTTTCTTTTCTTCCCTTTAATGTAAAATCTTGCCATTGTTTTTGTTTGTCTTGACCAATTATTTGCTCAGGACAGAGAGAACTTAGAAACCACCTCTATAAGGAAACTCCGGTGCCCCCAAGCCCAGTAACAAATGTGATTTTCCTCAGGGAGAAGCCCTCACACGTGGCTGGAGTGCCTTCGTGGTTTGTACAGGCTAACAGCAAGGGCCCACAGTACCCTTAGTCTTAAAACCCCTTCTTGAGAGTCGTGCCTTTTAAAGAGGCTATGAACCTCACCGGACAGGGCCCAAGGAGGTCCCAGATGCGAAGATAAAGAATCTTGACTCACCCTGTCCATGTGATAGGTTGCAGGTTCTCTGACTTGAATCAAGAAAAAGAATTTGGGGGGCATGGCAGTTAAAAGGAATAAAGGGATTTATTAGGCAGAATTTTATATTTATTTATTTATTTATTGAGACAGGGTCGCACTATTTAGTTCAAGCTGCCCTTGAACTCACTATGTAGCCCAGGCTGGCCTCAAAGTTGCAGTGATCTTTCTGCCTCAGCCTCCCAAAAAGTATACACTCAAACAAATAGAGCACCAGCCCTCAAGAGAGAGAGGCAGCTGGGGATTTAGCTCAGTGGTTCCACCGCCTGCCTCGAAAACGGAAGGACCGAAGTTTGATCCCAGGTACCAAAAAAAAAGAGAGACAGGCACATTGTTTCCTAGAGGGAGCATTTATATTTCTCTTCAGGGGATGGAAACCTATGGAATTTGTGAGTCTATAGGAAGTTCTTGGGGTTTGGTTTATGGAAAAAGATAATCCACTCACAGAAAGATAAATGGCCTATTTTACAGGTGAAAGGCCCTGTTTTGTTTTGTTGCTGTTATTGTTTTTTAAGATGGGTGATCTAAGATGTTTTGCCTAAAAACATTCTTTTTTTCCCCCCCTGTACCAGGGATTGAACTCAAGACCTTGCACTTCCGAAGCAGGTAAGGTGCTACTGAGCTAAATCCCCGGCCCTGCCTGAAAACATTCTTTAAACTCTCTTAATCTATTCCTTTTTCTTAAGGTCAGATTTCTGCCCTTTATCAACTAAGCTAATTTATGGCCTTAAAATATCATCAATGGATTTTATAAGTGGTGGGCTTGAACATAAAGAAGTACAAACAAACCTAGGGAATACTGATATCGATAGCCTTGATCTTGCTGGCTTTTAAGCCCAACCTTTCATTACTATGACAGTGTAAATGAAGTCACTAAAGAAAAGATATGGGGTAAAAACCTGAAGAGGACCTAAGAAGGACTTTGGAGGGAAAAATACCAGTAGTTATCGCAGAGATGGAGAAAGGAGAGCCCTTAGACTGTGAGGAGCCGCCAGGAAGCCAAGACAAAAATAAGGAGAGAGCCAGGCATGGTGGTGCATGCCTGTAATCCCAGCACTCAGGAAGCTGAGGCAGTAGGATTGCAGTGATTTTGAGGCCAGCCTGGGCTACACAGTGAGGTCAAAGCCAGGCTGAACTACATAATGAGACTGTGTCTTAAAACAAAAACAAAACAAAGACAAACAACAACAACAACAAACCACAGAGAGAGTAGACACATGGAGTTGGTGTTCTGAAGTTTCAGTGTTTCTAAAAATACAATTTTTAAATAATGATTTTCTTTTGCTTCTTCCGCCCCCCGCCCCCATCTCTCTATCTTTGTTTCTTTCTTTCTTTGAGATAAGGTCTTACTATGTAGCCCAGGCTGGCCTCAAACTCTTGGCAATCCTCCTGCCTCAGCCTCCTGAGTATGAAGATTACAGGTATACACCACCACACCTGGCTTTCTTCTATACTACCTCATTATAGGGCCAGGGATTTAGCTCGGTGGTGCAGCCACATGCCTCAAAAGCTCAAGGTCCTGAGTTCAATCCCGGGTACCAAATTTTATATATATATATATATAACCTCATTATATATGGATGTGACCATGGTAGTGTTATCAAGTTTTAGGGTGCTGGAGTCTCCCTCTGGAGGTGGTTTCTAGGTTCCTTCTGTCTTGAACAGAGAATTGGTCAAGACAAGCATAAATGGTAGCAAAGTTTTGTTAAAGATAAGAAAAGAAACAGGCTATGCAGAGCAAGTTTGGGGCAAGTGAAGCTTGAGGAAAGGCCACCACAGAAGAGAGAACACAGTGCCAAAAACTCAGTGTGGACCATCCTTTTTGTGTCACTCACTCCTCAGGCTGCCATCAAGTCTAGGCCGTCCCATCCAAAACCTGCTCAAGTCCTTGGGAGAAGTCCATATGCAGGGTTTTTGGAGCTGTTCTGCACATGTGTCCTGGGATTTCGTAATTAACAGGTCACACCTACTTCCCCAGACAGTCTGCCACACCCTAATCTCCTGTCTCAGGAGATCTTCAAATAAATTTTAAGAAGGAGATGCAATATTGACCCAAGTATTAATCCAGTAAATGACAATATAACAGATGTGATTCACTCTATTCAAAATTTACCTTTGAGGTTCTACTTTCTCTGAGGCCATAAATGGGAAGAAAACAGGAGAAAAGCAGCTGAGGGTCTGGGGGTGTGGCTCAGTGGTAGACATTTGAGCGGACCCAAAAGGACACCATACCTGTGTGGTTGCTGTAGGCATATCTGAGGACAGAGTGGATGATCAGAAGAGGCTATGGCATGGAAGGTTATGAATGGGTACTGAACCAGGAGAAAGAATTCATAGAGGTTCAACCCCAGAGGAAGAAACATTGAATCTGGGAAGCTCAGTACCCAAAAGTACTTTTGTGAGATTTATGGAGACGTGGTGTTACCAGATGTGGGGTGCTGGAGTCTCCTTCTAGAGGTGGTTTTAGGTTCTTTCTGTCCTGAGCAAAGAATTGGTCAAGACAAGCTCAATGATAGCAAGGTTTTACATTTACTAAAGGTAGGAAAAGAAACAGGCTCTGGAGGGCAAACTTGGGGCCAAGTAAAAGTAGGAAAAGAAGTGCAGTACCCTCTATAGGGTGAGGTGCAAGGGAGAACACAGTGGCAGGGAGCTCAATGCTGACTGTGTCTCCCACTCCTCGGACTGATGTCAAGTCTAGACTGTCCTGTTGAAAACTTGCTAGAGTTCTCCTGAGAAGAATTGAAGATGGCACTCTCTGATTGGGTCCACATGCAGGGGCTCTGGGAACTGTTCTATGCTCCAGCCATGCCCTAATCTCCTGCCTCAGTGGGGCTGCAGGTTTGAAAAGCAAGGAGAGAACAGAGGAGCAGTGGCACAGTATATGCTAAGTATGCAAGAGGCCCTAGGTTCTATCCCCAGAACCACCAGAAAAGTAAAGAAAAGCTGCTTCCTAATTTCAGAGGGAGGTCTCACCTTGGCTCTCTCTAATATACACCTTGCATTTTATCTGTTGCAATCATCTGTAAGGAAAACAAAGACAGTGCTATCCTCACGTTGCTGATAAGAAATCAAGATAAAAAAAAGAAATCAAGGTGAAATCATACTTTTAGAATAAGACAGGACTGATCTAAAATCCAAACCATCTTTCATTTGCAAGTCAGACATTCCTCCTGTAGGATTGTGGATGCAAACAAGATACAGGTGGGCTGAGGATTTAGCCCAGTGGTTCTACCACCTGCCTCGAAACCACAAGGTCCCGAGTTCAATCCCCAGTACCAAAAAAAAAAAAAAAAAAAAAAGATACAGGTACTTGTCTTTCCAGACCTGCCCTTTCTTATCAAGACTCTTTTGTTTTTGTTTTTTATGGTGCTGGATATTGAATCCAGAGCCTCATGCATGGTTGGTAAGCCTTCTGGCATTGAGCTGTGCTCCAGCCCCAAGCCACTTCTGGACATTTCTCCCCCCTACTGTCTTTGGAAGCCTTCCCCTCTGCATCTACCTAGTTGGCCACTATTCTTTGCAGTGCTGGGGCCAGATGGTGGTGGGGAATCCCGAGAAACATTCCCACAACACTGGTCCACACTGCAGGAGAAAGCACTCTTTATGTACCGTGGATTTTCCCATTTGGATAATAACTGGACTATAGAATTACAGTACCTATTTCTTTCTCCCTTTCCAGCAAGTTCTCTGGCAAGATAACACTAGCCTCAATGGGTTCTGGGGAGAGGAGGAGGAGAAAGAGGAATCAGAGCCACTCAGAAGAATCTGAACTGAGCAGTGGTAGACCGAGCTGGATACACTTTGTCTCTGCAAACACCCATCACAGCTAATGAGATGGAAATGCAATGGGAAATGAACCACACTTTTTAAAACCTTCTTTTCCAATTTCATTGACTATGAAAATTTGCAGGAAACCTTCAGAGATGAGAAGGGAGATGGTGAAAGCAAACCAGACCAGAATACAAAATAACTTCATTCACATCAGAAATCACTGGCAGGATTTTGCTGTTACACACAATCTGTTAGTTGGTTGAATGGAGGACAGCCTGGTCAGAGTGGGGTCAACTGTGCCAAAAGAAGACAACAGTCATCAGTTCCCTTTTTCTCCGGGCAGAAACCAGGACGTGACATTATCCATGCGAGCAAGGCAAGGGTTTAATGGCTTTGTATTTGCATAATGACTTTCCCTTAGTGCTTTTGCTGTCCTGACTAATTGCTTTAGAATCTTCTGCTACATCTGTTGGGTTTTAACACTTTTGTTGTTGTTGTTGTTGCTGAGGATGGAACCCAGGGCCTTGTGCAACATCCCCAGCTGTCCTGTTACTGGATGAGGGGTTCCATGGGCTCCTTTCCTGGTCCTTAGTGTTCTGGACAAAGAACTGGACAAGACACACAAAAAGGGCAGCAAGGATATACAGTCATTGAAGGCAGAAAGGAGCGGGCAGACTTTAGTATCAGAGATACCTGGGCTGGTCTCCACCTCATGTAAAGAAGGCCCTGAGATACCTGTCCTATCAAAAACTCATTTGAGCTGGGCATGGTGGCTCATACCTGTAATCCCAGCACTTGGGAGGCTGTGGCAGGATGACTGCTGCATGTTCAAGGCCATCCTGGGCTACACAGTGAGTTTAAGGCCAGGTTGCACTATGTAGCAAGACCCTATCTCAAAAAAAAAAAAAAAGTAGCACACCAAAACAACAACAATAAACCCCTCACTTGATATAAACTGTCATTTCAAAAAGTTCACTCAGCCTCTCAGCACAGGTAAATGAAAGATCAGAAACATCTTTGGTGCTCCCCTCCCTCACCCCCTTTTCTCTCGTGACAGCATCTCCGCTAAGTGGCCAGGCTGGACTTGAACTTGAGATCCTCCCACTGAAGCCTCCGGAGTAACTGGGATTACAGCCATGTGTCTTCTAATAAAATCAAAATCTTCAAGCCCAGCCATGTCCCAGGCCACCTATATAAAATTTTGGAACATGGGTTGTAAGAAACAGAATTCCTAGGATTTTCCTGGTGACATATATGATGTTCTATCAGGAAGAAGGTCATAACCCAGGAAGCGCCTGGTTTCACAGGGCTGTGATCCCAGCTGCTCAGGAGGTGAATTCAGAACTGCAAATTTGATCTCACCTGGGCAATTCAGGGAGACTCTGTCTCAAAAGTCAGGGGCCAGGGATTTGGCTCAGTGGTGTCGGTGCCTGCCTGGCAAGCACAAGGTCCTGAGTTTGATCCCCATACCAAAAAAAAAAGTTAGAGTGTGTGGAGGGGCGGGGCACTCAGGGCTTCCTGATGCAGTCTCCAGTAGCAGAGGAGGCAGTTGGACACTTCTGCTCCTGCATGCTGTGTACTCACCGGATTGAGGCAGGAGGGGGGAAATAAACTAGGTAGAGAAGAGACAAAGAAAACCATAATTGGATTGAGGCAGGAGGGGGGAAATAAGCTAGGTAGAGAAGAGACAAAGAAAACCATAATTTCAAAAGAGTGCTTTTAAAAAGACTGCAACTTCAGGACACAAAGCTACCCATGGTTTTGCATATCTGCATGACAGAGGTTTGCTTATACTTCTTAGGCTTTTTTCCCTCCTCACCCCAAATCCCTAAAAGATATTATAAATCTATAAATTACCTTAATTAATAAGGTAAGGGACAGAAATCTGGCCTTAAGACAGAGAAACTGATTCAAAGGTTTCAAAGAATATTTTTTAGGCAAAATATCTTAGATCACTCTTCTTCAAATTAAAAACAAACAAAACCAATAGGGTGGGTACCTTTCTCCTGTGAAATAGGACATTCTTTCATTTGTAAAATGAGCCTTTATCTTTATTTTGATTGTTTTTTGAGACAGGGTCTCCCTGTGTGGTTCAGGATGGCCTTGAACTCACTATGTAACCCAGCTGGTCTTGAATTTATGGCAATTCTCCTGCCTGAGCCTCCTTACTGCTGTTTAACCTGTGGGTTGGCCTTCACTTTTCTTGTGTAAACCAGTAGTTCTCTTAACCTTTTTTGTATTTCCCACCCTTTTTCTCTCCTTGTTTCAATTTAGATTTCTTCTGACTTGCGCTTCTTATCTGGCTTTTTGTTTTATTTTGTTTTGGTTTGGTTTCTGGTTTTTTGAGCCTGAGTCTTAGTATCGTAGCCCATTCTGGCCTCAAACTCACTATGTAGCCCAGGCTGGCTAGAACTCATGGCAGTCCTCCTGCCTCAGCCTCCCAAGTGCTGGGATTACATGTGTGTGCCACCAAGCCCAGCTCACTGATGCCTCTCAAAAACTTTTTTCTATGACAGAAGTCAGTGAACCCAAAACCTCCCCAGTGGGTGAGGTGAGTACTGGCTCCTCATCTCCATTTGAGAACCCTCCTCAGACCCTGTCGGGTGACAGGATGAGCTTGAACAAAACCCTGTTCCTTCACACCTTACTAGCAGTGCCTTCCTGCCAATAGAGTCCTAACTCTACAAGTCACACTGTCCTCAAATTACCTCAAACAACCCTGACAGTTGTCCCAGACTTTTGCAAAAGAGGACCCTGGTCTCACACTTGAAAAGTCGCACTAATTCTGGTCTTTTCCACTTGTGGATTTGCTTGGTCTCTGTGATCACCGTCTAGAGCCCTTGATGCCCTCATCAGCTGGGTTGAGCTCCTATGCCATGACTGATAACTGCTCCTATTAGGTGCTTGTCTTCGTTTCTTTCTTCGTCACTGAGACGCAATATCCAACACTCACAACTTAAAGGAGGAAAGGTTTATTTTGGCTCACAGTTTGTAGAGGTTCAGTCCATAGACAGCTGGCTCCAAGGCAGGGTGGTGTCGCAAAGGGGCGTGGTGGCAGGAAGCAGTGCAGGGTTCAAGGGAGGAGGAGGGACATGTGTACAGCCTTCCAGGCCACTCCCACGGTGACCACCTCCTCCAATCCATTCTCCTCCCAACATCGCATTCAGCTATAAATTCATCAGTGGCCTAATCCATTAATGAGTATCACACCCTCAGGATCCAATCTAATGACCATATGAGGCTTGGTGGGGACATCTAGATATAAACCGTTACAGTGGAGCTGGGGGCAAGACACCATGGTAAGGTGGAAGTCAAAAGGACTACAGTCAGTAGATCTTGAGCTGGGGTTGGTGGTGCAGTCCTGTCATCCCAGCACTCAGGAGGCTGAAGCAAGAAGATCATCTCAAGGTTGAGGCCAGCCTGAGTGACATAGTGCAAGGCCCGCCTGGCCTACATACCAAGACTCTGTCTCAAAAAACCAAAAAAAGTGCTTACTTCGGCAGCACATATACTAAAAAACCAAAACAAAACAAAATTGGTAGATCTGTATTCCAAACTTGGTTGGCTACTGACAATTTCTCTAACCTTGGACACTTAGTTGTAAGTCATTTCATAATCAGAGAGTAGTAAGAAATAGCTTTCAGGTGAGCTTAATATATCCCAGGGCCTATAGAAAACACCATACACATTTCAATTTGTATGTATGTAATGTTTGAAATAAAATAAATTAAATAATTCTCATTCCCTCAATGAAGATTAAGGCATCAACTTTTATTCTTACAGCTTTTCTTCTCCCTCTCTCTCTCCCTCCCTCCCTCGCTCTCTCTCTCTCTCTCTCTCTCTCTCTCTCTCTCTCTCTCTCTCTCTCCCCCCTAGAACAAATAAATACATTTATCTCTATTGGGTCTATAAAATGCTCAGAGAAACTTAAAATCTTCAAGGATTTAATTTTAGGCAACAAAATATAAAACACGGTTAATATCATTCCTGGAAACTTCTCAGAATAGCGAAGATTTCCTCACATAAATCAATGGCTTACTTCTTATTGCAGAAGAATTCCAGTAAACACAAATGAGGACAGCATCTTCAAGAGTCAGAATATGGTTTGACCTATGACCGAATACAGTTCAATTTTGTTTCACTTTTAAAAAGAGAGAGACCGTCATTGAAAACTTAGTGGAACAATCAGAAGCTTAGCCAGACTAGATCAAGGGATATTGAATATTGTCTCCAAAATTAAGTGTGGTTTTGTTTTTCATCTGCCCAGCAAATCAATGTTGTCATGGTTGCATGAAATGGAGAAATAAAATTAACCTTTGAAAATCAAACTGTAAAAGCCCATCACAGTGTGAAGTCTAGCCCGCTGATAAAAACAACTACGCTACATTAATTTTTGTTTAAATGGGTGGTTGAAGATACGGCTGGAGAATGTGTTATCTTTCCTCTCTCAAAATAAGGGTCACGGCCAGCACACTTATTACAAAAGACACGTTAGCAAGAGAGAAGGGCAGCAGGTTTACATAGCAAAGCTTACATGACCGGAAACGCAGGCTCAAAGACCCAGGAAAAACTGTATTGTGACAAAGCTTCAGTTTAATGAAGAGGGGCAGCCATGTAGAAACACGACTGGACAAAAGGCCCTGATGTACCGGGAATAGACAAGGGGATCCGCAAGTCCTGCCTGTTCTGACTCTTCCGGGCATTTCTGTGCAGCATTGCCTCCTCCCTGTGGTGGGAAGGACGCTGTGGGGGTCTTACAGGAAGCCGGGAGAGTGTCAGAGAGGGAACTTTCGGTTACGGTTTGCTTCCGGGAAGAGGCGTTCTATTTTCTATGACCTGTTGCAGAGAAAAGGGACTAGGCAGTCTATGAATCACTTCTGGAGGAGAAAGAGGGACAGAAGACAGGAGGGCAGGAGAAGTTCAGAAAGATCTTACTTCTAGGCCCTCCCAATCTCCCTCAGTTAAAGAATTCAGCTCACCCGGGCACCACAACTTAGGGTATTGTCTTCTAAGCCAAGGATACGCAGCAGACGACATGCTTAGCCGGTGCGTAGTGAGGTGAGGGACCCATTCATGCGGTGACCTGGATGGAGCCTTCTTCCCAAGAGTGCTGTAGGGAACAGATCTGATCAGATCCTCCACTTGGGTTGCTTGAAGATGACACGCGTGGAGAGACAAGGGAGGCTATAAATTCATAAGTAGAAATCGTGGGAAGGGTGGAGAGACATTTAGGCAAGGGTAGAAACAACTGGAGTCGTCAGAAGGATTGGAAGCAGAAACAGGGCACTAAAATGGAGGCATCAGCAGAACAGGAAGCAGTGGATGGAACCCCTGAGGAGTGAGCTATTGCCTCAGCCCCCAGATGCAATATACTGTAGGTCCATAGGGCTGGATGCCCAAGGACTGGGATCGTTTCTTCGGCTTCCTGACTTTCCTGTATTTCTTATGATAAACCCTCATCCTTAAGATGCCCTGAAAAGACCTAATCATTCAGGGTTGCATTTCCTTAAAGAAAAAACAGGATTTTTGAAGCTGGGTAGGCTAGTGCATGCCTCTAATCTCAGCACTTGGGAGGCTGAGGCAGGAGGATCTCCATGAGTTCCAGGCTAGCCTAGACTACATAGTGAGTTCAAGGCTAGGCTGGACTACATAGCAAGACCCTGTCTAAAAAAACAAAAACAAACCCAAAAGAAGAAAAAGTAAGATTTTTAAGGCACTGTACCCTTTCAAGTTTGAGCACTTGAGGACTTTCTGTGGCATAAGTTCAGTTAACATCTTCTTTTAATATCCTTGGAGCTTGAATATCTCTCATGCTTCTTTATAATAAACTTCCTATAACTACTCGTTTCAAATGATAGTTCAAGGCCAGGGATTTAGCTCAGTGGTTCTGCCATCTGCCTCGAAAGCGCGAGGTCCTGAGTTCGATCCCCGGTACCAAAAAAAAAAAAAGATAGTTCAATATTTACAGCACCTATTTAATATTGTTAGTCAGCTTTTCATTGCTCTGGTTCTTTAGAAACAAGGTTGCCTAGGCTTCAAATTGCCTAGTCTCCTGTTCATCCAGGCTGTATCTAAACAAATCACCTCATTTGATTTTCTGCTATATAAATTACAACCACTTTCCAGTTCCTGTCCAGAGTACTCTGGATCAGAGGACTGGATATCTGTAAACTCTACAGACACATTTGTAAATCTATAGTTTCCTCCCAAATTTTCTTGATATATCTTCTCCAATGGAGGACAAGATAAGTCAGTACCATTAAAGAGTCAAGTCAGGAAATTCTCTTTGCTCTGACTCTACCATTGAAACTTTTGCATTATAATTTCCATTTGCATTATAATTTGGCTTCCTTTGTAATTTGTCTACCAGAACCTGAAGGCCAGATCTTTCGACCTGACCATCCTGATCTATTCCGTGCCACTGGTTTCTGTAAATTAACACGTGGATACACAGTACACATACACCTCAGTGCACACGCGCACGTCTGTGTGTGTATGAGTGCCTGTCTGCATGTGTCTGCACATGTGCACACTTCTGTCTATGTAATGGATCTCTTCTAGTTTTTGGTCAAAGACAGATCTCGGAAGCTTCAAGGCTTTGGAAGAGTCTGTTGAAAGCAGTGAGCCAGCTGAGGTAAGTGCCACTCCATGAAGGCTCCTAGGAGTGGCACTCAGTCTGGTTCTGGCAAAGAATAACCACCTGCAGCACCTGGGTTTAGCATTCAAAATGGCAACAGTAAAAGGCTGTATGCATTAAGATAACTTAACAGGTGAAAACTTGAACTTAAATTAACAAATTAGAGAGCTTCATTTGTACAAAACCTTATAATCACTTCCATCAAATACAAACTGTTTTTGATTGTTGCAAACAATTTTTAAAGTTTTTTGTGTGATTTTTGAGACAGGGCCTCACTATGTAGCTCAGGCTGGTCTTGAACTCACTATGTAGCCCAAGCTGGCCTCGAAATCACAGTGATCCTCCTGCATCAGCCTCCAGAGTTGCTGGGATTGCACTCATGCGTCACCATGCCCAACTCAATTTTAAATTTTGGGGTTTTTTCTTTATTTCTTTTAAAAATTATATCCTTCCTATATTAATCCATCTCAGAAAAAGAAGAATTAAAAATTCTACAAAATAGGGCCAGGGATTTAGCTCAGTGGTTTCGTTGCCTGCCGCGCAAGCACAAGGACCCAAGTTCGATCCCCTGTACCCCCCCAAAAAAAATTCTACAAAATGGGCTAGGGATGTATAGCTCAGTGGCAGAGCACATGCTTAGCATATACAAGTTCCTGTGTTCAATACTCAGCACCAAAAAACAAAAACTAACAAAATTTGAGAGTTGTGATATTCCTGAAATAAAGAAGTGATTACAAGTAAAGCTACTTTACTGTGAAAGAGTTAAAACTATTCAATAACATCACCTCACTCCATATGGGGAAAGAGTTACACTAAATATAGAACATTTTGGATGAATGTAAATCCAAGATGGTGAATAAGAAAAAGGAAATAACAAGCTGTGAATCAGGTGTCGGCCTCCCCAAATAGAAAAGTTTCTGTGAAGATGTTTCATCCTGGAATTGCTTTATCCATCATTTAAGGTCATGCAGACTTCAGAAAAATTTCCCATACTTATCTGCAAAGGATTTGTGATTCCCATTGAACAATGGTGGCATAACACCAGTACATAAATGTCTAGCATGAACTTTCTGTTTTTGTTGTTACACTAGAGGATAAAAATGTGGTTTCCAAGGGTATCTGTATCCCTTAGTTCTTGGCTAGAAGTCCTAACACTTTCTTGATAATACACTTCCCTTTTCCTTCAAGAAGATGTTGTAAGGGTAATTTTCCAGGGGAAATGCATTCTGAAAGTGTTTGCTACTCTTATGATTGTTCTAGACCGCCTCTTAAATGCTCAAGGGTGTCCTCCAGGGACACAAAGGCTGCCTTCTGTCCGGGAACAAGTCTCCAGGGGTCTCACATTTCTACGGGGCCATGTGAGCTGAACCCCCACCCACTCTTTTGTTTAAGACTACCTTTTTGGATATTTTGTAGTAAACAGCTTTGGAAAGCACACATCTCTCTCTCCCGAGACTGGGAGCTGATTGCTCCCTGTCCAATATAACAAAGCCAATGCCTCCCTCTGCAGTAAATGCCAGGCAAGCTTGACTACTGCCCATTACAAAGATATTTTATAAATATTTTATAAACTGCAGTTTGAATCTATATTGCCCCACAATTAACCAGGGAAGTCTGATTGACACAAATGAATTGGCAAAAAGCTGGACTTTAAATTTTTGTTGAAATTTGGAAATTTTACCACTTAGCCAATTTCATTCCCTTTTGAAAACAGAGTTTAATTTGTGTTATTGCCAACACCACGCCTTTGCTTAATTCTTGCTCACTGCTGAAGCTTAGAGGATTAGCTGTGCTTTAAGGACTTAGGAAAGGGGCTAGGTTGGTCCACAGTTGGGGCAAAGGATCATGGGAAAATCAGCCCCAAGAGAGGCCTTTTACCCGCCCAGGGGTCAGAGGTGGACCGGGAGGGCGGAGGTCCAGCTGTCCAGACAAGCAGCAGAGGCAGGATGGACCTGGCACAGTGTGTGTGTGTGGGGGGGGGTCCTTAGAGACAGTGAGGGGAACCTGGCCAAAGACTAGATTTTAAAAAAATAATGTGCGGGGCATGGTGGTGCATGTCTCCCAGACATGTCTGGAAGGCTGAGGTTGAAGGACCACAAGTTCAAATCCAGCTTGGGCAATTCAATGATTAAGCAAGATCCAGTCTCAGAATTTAAAAGAAATAAAATTAAAGGGCCAGGGATGTAGTTTAGCCTGAAGGGCTTGGGTTCAATCTCCAGTACCAAAAACAAACAAACAAATAAAACACACTCTGAGAGATGGAGAAGTTAGGGGGATGAGTGTCTATGAGAGCAATGCTCAACCAAATTTAACTGCTGTCTTAAAAATTGGGATTCAATAATAAAATTTGGCATCCAAACCAGTTTGCCCCATAAATGTATCAGGTCGATGTATTCATGGACAAATATTTTTGAACATATAACCTATGGCCAGGCTAAGATCCAGAGGTGAAAGAGTGAACAAGACACCTGCCTTCAAGGATCCTGATGCTCAGAGGAACCAACACACCTCTAACAATGGTAATGGCAGTACAGCTGTATCAGTCAGGGCAGGTTCAGCAAATATATTCTGTAGCTTTAATGAAGTTGACTTCTTTTACACAAAAAGCCGAGTAGACAGTTCTAGGTCATGGGTGTAGGCTTCACCATCCTCAGAACTACTCACTGGCTTCTACTAACTTTGCTCCGTTTT